GCACCAGTTAGACTCAATGGGTAATGGGCCCAGAAAACGAATCTAATGCTTTGTTTTATTTGTTTTTTTGAAAAGGGACAAAGGGAAAGGGGAGATGGGCAGGATAGGGGAAAGGAAAGAAGGGAGGGGGATTAATATGAGAAAATGAAAAAAAGTGGAAACAAAATTTTTGTGGACAAGGAGGGAGGGGTTGAAGGGAGGGCTGGGGAATGGGGAAAAAATAAGAACCAAGATGGACCATGTAAAGGTGCAGATTCCCAACAGTGAATGCCATTACATTGTGCACCTCAGATGTACCAATAAAATTAATTTTAGAAAAGACTACAGCTGCAGACCAGGGGTCTTCAAGGCAGAGATGGCATTTGGAAGTCACACTTACTAAGAAGAGCTGGGACCTCTGTGAGCCTGAAACCTCAGACATTACTTTTTATTGCTGTACTACGTGTCTGCAGCACATAATAAACCTTCGCTGTGGGTGCTGGAGTGTGCACACACCACAGCCCGTCCCTTTTCCTTCTCTTTCCCTTCCCCAGCTTCCTGCCTCTCCATCTCCAAGTGCGCTCCGCATCTTTATACTGATGAGATGGAAACTAACCCACCTTCTCTGCTTACCTAGGGCAAGGTAAGGCATGGAAGGCTAAACATGACTATGGTTGTTCACCAGTTTTAAGGGACACTGGGATGCTGATAAATAGAGTGTAAATCTTACAGAGTACATACAGAGGTGATAGACTTTAAAATATAATTCATCCAGAGGATGGTCTTAGAAAGCCTTGGTTAACTACTAAAACATGAGTAGAGAAAGATTTGGTTTCAAATAACTCTCCTGATAGGTTATGTGGTTTCTCCATGGATGGGTTATCAAAGCAGGACAGGGGAAGATCTGACCCATATAAAACTTCTGCAGCCACAGTCTTTCCAGATGCTGGTCCACATCTCAGAGTTCAGATTTACTGTGTCCATGGGAGCAAAAGCATCTTCCCCCAGGTGAGCGGGCATCCCACATGTCCTGGGATTATCTTGGTTAAAGCCTGACCTTTCATTTTCAGAAATGTCCTTGCTTAGGTGACTCATTATATGGGCACCTTAATTGTAAACTGCTTTTTACAGCACACACAGAAATGAGCCACTGACACCCACTTTCCTTTCAGTAGGGCCCAAGAAGTCATCAGGAAAGACTGTTTACAGCTACATAAGCCACAGAAACCTCCAAGAACCTTGTCAGCAGCAAAAGGCTGTCCTAGGATGTGCCCAAGCCGGCTGTTATTAATTCAGTCCATTGTAATTCTAGCAAATTATTTTTGTCCCTGAATAAATTTCTGCTTCTTTGCTTAACAGATTATCAGCTGTCTCAAACTTAGAAGTTCTGGAAAGGCAGCAGTCCACGTGGCATAATCCAGATGATAAGTGATGAAGAGAAGGTGTGGATGTCTCTGTACTTCACAGAGAATCCATGACAAATATTTGAATTGATTTTAAAAATTCTGTGCATTACCCGATTCTGCAGGAAAAGAAATTACATGGGTGGGCATTGGTTGCCGGTGAATCCCTGATGTTAGGACTTAATCCGGTGCTCTGAATGCCACCAGAGTGAACTTCACCATTTTTGTCCGTACAGCCACGGCCATGGCAGAAACACAGCAGGAGCCCAGAAAGAGCTTCAGAGGCATTGTTACCCCGGTTCCTTCCCCTGCCAGCCCAGAGTGCTAACCTACATTCTTCCTGTGGTCGTTTGATCCAGCCTTTGCCAGCACCACTCCTCCCACTTGTTGTGAAGTCTCCACCTCCTCTAAGAAACCCTCACTGATCCATGAGGATCTTTTAATCTCGTGCCATTGATAAGTGGACATAAACATTTTGAAAATCAGTTGTTGATTGTCTTCATGTGGATGCTAGAATTCACTGTGGCCAGAGGCTGTACCTACTCCGCACACGCTATGGCCAAAGACTCAGACTTGGCAAGCGGAGCCTACCCAGGCAGGAAGACATGGCAATGCTAGAGCCCTCTGGAGAAACCCTGGCGTTATTGTCCTCCGCTGTAAAACTCACTTCTTCTGCCCCAGGATGAGCCAAGCTCAGGGCCACCTACACAGGCACTGGCCTTTTGCCCTTCCGGGCCCCTCCCATACTAAGGTCCAAAAGGCTTCAGGGAGGTCAGAGGGAGGCAGCAGGTCCGAACAAGTCTCCACTAGGAAGCCTCCTCTCCAAGGCAGGGACGTGCCGATAACCACGGCTGTGTCCGAGCTCTGGCGTATGGGCGCCTGTAACCATCACATGCCTGAGCCCATTCCCCGCCACAGGCCATGCGTCCATCCTCAAGGGGCTTAGTTCAATCGTGACAGCCTTGACCATTTGAAACCTGCTAATTTAACTCATCTTTCAGAGTGTTAGAGAAATCTCGGAGAGAGAGACAGGGGCACAGCACACAATTTTAAGAATCTGTTGCATCATTTAAAACTCCGCCTGTGTGCACCTTCCTAGGAGAAGCCCCGTACTGACGCTCTCCCTTGCCTGGGAGACTGTTCTCCGGATTCGCACACAGCTAAGCCCTTGCACGTCCAGTCTGGCTCAGATGTTCTTCTCACAACGAGTCCGACCCTGACCTCTGGACTTGAACTTGCCATTGCTGCCTTGAACCTTTCCTTTCTCTTTATCCCGATTCTGTTATGTATATGCATTCCATGTATTAATTGCTATTTTGCCACTCAATAAAATTCAGGAATGTGATTTGTGGTGTCTTTGTCTTGCTTATTATATATATATATGTATATATATATACATATATACGTGTGTGTGTGTGTGTGTGTGTGTGTGTATGTGTATGTATTATGAATTATACTGGGGATCGACCTCAGGACCTTGAGCTTGCAAGGCAGGTGGTGGGCCACTAGCTAAATCCCTGGCCCTGGTGTCTTTTCTTAAAAGGATGCAATACAAATGACTTAGATAGTTTAAGTCATTAATTAGTAGGCACTCTGTAAATCATTTTCATATGAATAAAATAATTAATTACTATTGTATCTGTACAAAACCCTGGATGTTCAGGTAATACAGTCAGATGTTCTGACAGTACAGTCAGAGCAGGTGTCAGGAGAGCTCAGAGCGTGAAGATGTGCAAGTTAGCAGAGAAGTGCGCACTCGGACAACAAGCGTCAGAACCTGCACAATAAGTTGGGGCCCCACTGGGATTTTTGCTGTTACTGGCTTTGAGCCAAACTGCAGGTGTACAGTACAAAACCCCAGAGCTTGAGAAGGTAAACAGAACACACACACACACACATGCCCCATAACTCAGGCACAGCCATGTGTCTAGTTCCCAGAACAGGGCTCAACGCCGGTCATGACTTGGATCTAGAATGGCCCGTGAAACTCTCATGAGCTGAGATGAAGTTTTGGAATGCAATCTGACTATGGAAGTGATATACTCTTCAGAGGATTCATCCTCTGGTGACTTTCGTAGCTACATGTGCTGCTAGGAGAAAGGCCCTGTGTTACTGGCAGGTGCGACCGGAAGGCCTGATCTTCTGGGCTCCTCATGGTGCTCTCTGCTTCCTGGTCACCGGCATGAACCGTTTCCTCCACTCCATTTCTGCATTTGAGCTTGGCAAGCATGGACCTTAACTTCTGAAACTGTGAGCCAAAGTAAACTTCTTTTCCTTTAAGTCGTATGTGCTGGGTCTTTTATCTATAACAAGGAAAAGTCCAAAGGAGCAAAAGTGGGTTCTGACATCAAAGAACCAACATTCAGAAGTCAGGAGACAATAAAAGTGAGATAGTACGCTTATGGTGTAATAAGACAAATGCAGAGAATCAAATACTCACCGAGTTCTTGTTAGGATTCATTCTCTATTCTGGATCCTGGAGATATGATGATGACAATACGAGGTTTCTACCAGGGCTTCAGGGGAGTCTTGTGAATGTGCAGTACGGGCAGGTGTTGCATGATTTGTACACAGGAAGTGCCATGGAAGCAGAGAAGATGGTGAATAGCATTTCTCAGAAAACCAAAGGGACAGTGGAACATCTTATTGAGCCTTAAAGATTAAATAGCCAAAAGGTAAGAGTGGACAATTCGGCAAGAAGAAAAAAGACATAGACACCAGGAAGGCTGAGTTTCAAATCATAAAGACCGGACTTCTGGAGGAGCGTGGTGTCAGAGAGTGCCTGCCTGTTCCTCTTGGTCTCTCTGCCAGGACCCTAGGCAGTGGCTGCCTGATAAGACACTGCAGCACAAACTGACTGAATGAAAGAAAGAATGAAAGCAATCAGGGTCTGGCCAGCTCATCAGGAAAGGCTCTCAGTCCATGTCTTTTTTTTTTTTTTGTACCAGGCATTGAACTCTGGTCCTTGCACTTGCAAAGCAGGTGCCAGAACCACTAAACTAAATCCCCAGCCCCCATGTCCCATTTTTAACAGAAGGCCTGATGTTTCTGAAGACTCATTCCTGTGATCTGTGGTGCCAATTTATTCTGCGATGTTCTGTGTGCTAAGTGCCATGCCTCTAATGCTCCACCTAACCCTAGGCCAGGACTATGAAGCAGATACTATACTCCTATCTCTGTTTAGCGGGGAAAAGGCTCAAATTACATATGAGGCGGGAAAATGTGTTAACACATCTAGCAGTCAGAAGAACAAAAATTCGCACTGAGTTCTGATGAGTCCAAAGCCCTAAACAATCAGAGGGAGAGTGTTCATCATGTGAACAGACTAATAAGCCTCAAACCTGGAGGAAATCTCAAGCTCTGATATCCACAGTTGTTATCTTTCTTTAATAGTAGAAACCATGTCACTAAAATCTTGGACCTTCTATTTTTCCCATGCCAGTGTTTATCTGTGTGGCAAGTTCATGAAACAGGCCTTCTAGCCAAACCATCCTGGGCAGCACCTTTGGGAGAAGAGGAAGGGAGACTCTCATACAGAAAAGACACCCAGGTTGCTCTGATCTTTCAAAGATCCCTCCTCAAAAAATGCAGGTTGACCAAATGTCAATTTACCATCACAGTGCAGACCAGCATTTGGGTGGAATTGATTGCAGTGTTCTGTAGAGTTCCCTCTGGTGGGCAGGCTGATTTTCGGCCGAGAGCCAAAGGCCGTTCTTGGCCTAGTTGTTGGCAGCACAGTGAACCGACCATCATGGCAAGATTAGGCTCCTCAGAGCACAGAGCTATTTCTTGGTACCTGATAATTGTAGACATTGGAAATTTTGGAGCAAAATAAAAATCTACAGCTTTATGGACTAATTTAATCCCATGTCAATTAACCTGATTAATCTCAGAGCAGAGAGCTGGAGAGAAAGAAAGAAAACACAGAATGATCCTGTTTGAAAGACCTTGTTATAAAAAATTGGTTCAAGATTACTTATCAGCTCAATAACATTATAATTTGAAAAGCAACAAATGAACAAATTGTTATTTCTTGGGATCCTTGTGTCCATTATTGCTTATGTGTGGATTAAAGGTGGGGAGACACTGGCAATCCCAGAGAGAATTAAGACCCTCATCATCTTAAGGAAAGAGGTTCTGCAGGAGAATCAGAAACACAGCACGCAAGCATGCACAAACACACACACACACACACACTCACACACGCAAGCACGCACAAACACACACACACACGCATGCACACACACACTCCCCCCTAGAGAGGTGAGATGCTCAGAAATCTGCTGCCCATCCGGGAGCCCCGAGTGCTGAGCCTGCAGGAAAGAGCCTCATCCCTACCCCTGCCCCTGCTTCATAGGCTCCAGCCAGACCACAGGATACTAACCTCCCGGCTCATACTGATTTGCTGAGTAAAATACATTATTCTGAGACGTTATGTCCCAAAGTCTCGGAGATCAAGACAAGAAAATGTCAACTCCACTTACCCAAAAAGAGACAGCGAAAGTTAAAGAAGCACTGCCTGCTCCAGGAGCACTTACAGATCTGGAGGAAGGTGTCCAGGCCCAGGGAACACATACCGAGGTTTCAAGCTGAGCAGTATGGACCCTTTCCAGACCCGAGCTCCAGGTTCAGATCAGCCGTTTCTGTTGATTTCCCAGGGCTTGGTAGGGGATACAGGCTGGGAATAAAAACGTGAAGCATGCATCAGTATTTCTGTTTCCTCTGAGGCTTATGCTGCAGCTAGAGAGACAGCAAATACAAAATATAGATACCATGGTAGCTTGGTGTAAGAGACCCAACGGCGGCTGATATTAAAAACATGAAAATAATATTGCCCACCTTATCTTGATCCCAGTATAGGATGAGGATCAATGGGAAGAGCTTCAGAGAAACATTAACTGTTGTGCTCAAATAGGATGTGATTTCATGATTTAAATGGCCTTGAACAGTATGTTAAGGAATCATGAGGATTAACATTGTAGAAAATGCAATGTGAATATTGGTTTGGAATGAGGATGGATGTCTACAACTGTTAAGAGGAGATAAACAGTGAGCATCCTGGATTCATGTGGAGAAGTCAAGCATCTTTGGCTGGGAAATGACTCAGCTGAGACCGGTGGCCAAATAGGTGACACCATAGCTGCCTTCCACAAGGAAGCTGACATTGGGGGAACTCCAGTCACGCTGTTCCAGTTCCGGTATGACACGGCTGGAAAGGACAATTTATGAAGGGGCCAACCATCTGGGATTCGGCGTTAGTCTTTTCAGGAACCAAGCATGGATAGACTTTGAGCATCTGAGACATCAGGATATACCTGAGAGCACAGAAGAAGACAGGAAAGCAGGAATGTGTGTGCAGGAATAAGAATGAGAAAAGAAAGGAACAGAAGTAGTGTGAGAACCAGGAACAAAGAACACCTAAATGAGAGCTCTGAGGGACACAGTCTCCACAAACTTGTTTAGAGGATGTGGTTAACAGAAACAGGGCAAAAATGTATTGGCTTTGGCTCTGTATAGAAAGTGCTTGGAAGATTAATGGCTCTACTTCTGTGAATTTCCTAGCACAATCTTTGGCCCAGAGTAAGCACTGATGAAATGTTATTTTCATTTTGTATTTTCTCTCCTTCATTACTGTGAATGAATTGCAATTGAGCATTACCTCTCCATTTCTGAATGTTTCCCCATGCCTTCACTGCTGCCTTACCAATAGGTAAGGAAAGTTTGCTGTGTTTCCAGAACCAAGCTTCCTTATGAGGTAATGGAAGTCTAGAAGTCCGGGATGTCTTGGTTGAAAAGGACAGGAGCAATTTCAGAGTACCTCAGAAGAGACTGGATGAAGTGTTCATATCGCAAAGACAATTTAAAAAGTGTCCCTCTTGATTTTACTGAAAGAAAAAGTAGAAGTAAAGTTTATCAAAATAAGGTGATAGTGGTTATAGGAATATGGGCTAATATTAATATATATCAAGCTATTTACCTATACTTTTACTACTTTCCAACCTCACTGTAATACAACTGATATATTTAATAAGAAGGGAGCATCGGGAGGGATGCATGAAAAGTTCAACACCGTTTCTGGATTCCACAATATATATATTCCTGTTGGGTCTCCATAGAGGACTTGCACACTCCTCAGGCTACAGAGGATTGCCCCATGGACAAGAGAGCTTTTGTGGGTGGCCAGGGAGATGTCCAGGAGTAAACTAATGCCAACCACATAACATGGGACCCATGCTTGCTGCCCTCTTGACACCCAAGATTCTGAGGGAAGAGAAGCGAACATTGAAGTCTTTGAGGGCTTCTCCTGCACGTGAAGTGTGTCACCTCATGGCATCCTGACTGGACTTACCAGGTGAAATCACCAAGACACCCAGAAGGTTACCTTTCCCGGGGGAGGGAGGTGCCAGTGGGATCAGAGAATGGAGTGGCACAGAATGCCTCTTCCACCCAAACCAGAACTGTGTGTTTCACTGCTTTCTCTCTCTCTAGGACTTTCAAGATGGTTCGAAGATGTTTTCACAGGAAGATTCCTGCTCTGGACTCTTTGCGCCAAAGTTAGAAAGCAAAGCAAGTTTTTTGGCACTGCCTGGGAACTCCTGTGTTAAAGTCATTTTCCAGCATAACTGCCTTTATCACCGAGCAGAGGAAGGATGTCCTTACTGGATCACACAGAGTGGAGACAGGAAGGGGGGCTCTGCTCTCCCCTCAGTTCCCATGCACAGTGGCAATGGGTGATATGGATGAGCTGAGGGATACCCCACTTTATTAAGAGCAAATGATATTTATTGTTACTTATGGAGAAAAATCGAATAGTATAATTGCTATGTGTCTCTCAGAGCTCTTATCACTGTCGTGTGACTGCAAGTAGATGCTGAAAGAGATTGATAGTGCCTTGGGCTGGCTGCACACACACTATCTGACTGGCTAACGGCCAAATTCAAAGTCTCCGTACACAGGGAGGGGTGCAGGGGTGATGGGAGGGCAGGGGAATGGGGACAAAATAAGAACCAAGATACATCATGTAAAGGTACAAGCTCCCAATGATGAATGTAACTGTACTGTATACCTAAAATGTACCAATAAACAATGAAAAAAGAGGGATGGCTTTCCCTTATATTTTGTATTAGAAATCTCCAATTCTAGAACCACGCTCTCTGCTTAGCAAAGCAGAGCCATTTTTCTAGCTCTTAAACAAATCTGGAAGGCAGGGAGCAAAGTGTGGTGAGGCCAGCATGCTTTCTCTCACCTCTACCTTTCCTGCTAAGCAAAGTAAGTTAATGAGTCAACTCATTCCCAACCTGCACCTTGCATGCCACTTGCTTAAATCAAATGAGAAGCTCTTCCTAGCTCAGGACCCAGAGCTCAAGTGAAAGTTGTCAGATTCAATAAAGTGGATTTGTTCTAGAAGGAAACATTGCCTTTGTATTTTCCAGGGTGCATCTGTTTTCCAGAATGCATTTCCTAGCTAATACCAGTTTGTAGACAGCATTTGTGGTGAACTTTAATTGTGTGCTTTACCTGACAGTCTTAATTGTAGTCTGACTTCCTTCAGGTAGCAATCAGCCGTGTAAAATAATCATATCTCCCTGAAGGCCATGATCGCAACCACCTGCGCCTTCGAGTTCTTCCTTTCAACTCCAGCATCACAGGGAGAGGGGACGCAGAGCTGAAAAGGCAAAACATTCTCAAAATAGCTGCCCTTTACCTATCATTCCAGTGGTGCAAAATTAAATCTGGACATAGCAGCTGAGGATGAAAATAACCCCACAGTTTTAAATTGTAATAATAAAGCTGCTACATAAGCAGAGATGGGCTTTTCTCAGTGGGGAAGGTGTCAGTTCAGATGCAGGCTTGTGTCTGCCTCTGAAGGTCCCTCTCTCTCTGTGGTTCTCTGTGGATGGCAGTGGCCTTCCTGTCGTCTACCTCCTCTGGACACTACTCTGTGTTCCTCTCCTCTGTCTCCACAGCTCCCTCAGGCCTCATTTCTCTCAGAGATCACTGAAATGACTGCACCCGGCCATCGGTGTCCAACTGACCAGTGTCCCAGCTGTCCCCCTCTTGGAGCTTTGATGACATCGTTCCGAGGTGAAGATCCAGCCACATTGCAGCACCTGGGAGAAACTTGCAGCAAACTGAGCTGACCAGAAAGATTACACTCTAATCATCGGCTTAGGACTTGACTCTGCTCCCTTCCCTCCACCCACAGAAAGGGATGAAAGGAAACAGAAGGTCAGGAAAAACTGCAGTAGGATTGGAACTAATGAGAAGGGCCCCCCAAGCAATGCAGAAATCACTAAATCTTGATTCCGTAACACACGTGCACACATCAAAGAGCCACATCAGATTGTTTGGGAAGACCCTGCCATAATCAACACCAGAACTTGTGTGCACTGTAGTTTTTAAATACATCTGCAATTAATGATATTTTACTGGCTGAATATAACTCAATTGCCTTTCCTAACAACTTATGTATTCAGTTTTCTTTTTGCGACATTTACTTTTTTCCCAACATGCAGCATGCGCAGAGATAGCAATATGTAATTAAAAGTTCTCAAGCATCATTAGTTACTTCCTTGGGGTAAAAACTCCTGAAGGCAAATGAAAAGATAGATGTGTCGTTGAAAATAATTGTAGCTTCTACAAATTATTCTATAGGAAAAAGCTGCCTGCAGTGGTTTCAACCCATGTGTTAGTTTTACTTTTTTATTAGGATTGAATTAATTCTGTCATGTAATTATCATTATTGGCCATCAACTGAATACCTCATGTGTACTCATGGTGTGGATGTAGGTTTTTTGATAATATAATATTAGAACCTAACCAAGCTTTTGAACAAATGGATTCAATAGATGTCTACAGAGTGTTCCACCCTACAAAATCAGAATACACATTCTTTTCGGCTGTACACGGGTTATTCTCCAAAATAGACCACACACTAGCTCAAAGAACATGTTCAAGTGAATGCAAAGGAATCAAAGTTATCCCCTGTATATTACAGAAACTGAATAACACCCTCCTGAATAATCAATGGGTCACAGAGGAAATTAAAGAAGAAACAAGACAGTTTTTACAATTCAATGACAATGCCAGTACAACATACAGGAATCTATGGGACACAATGAAAGCAGTTTTACATGGGAAATTCATAGAAGTGAATGTCCACACTAGGAAAACAGAGAGAGCTCAAATAAACAACCTAATGCTGAATGTTAAGATCCTAGAAAAAGAAGAACAAGAGAAACCCAAAGATCATGCAAGGGAGGAAATTATAAAGATCAGAGCAGAAATCAATGCAATGGAGACTAAGAGAATGATACAAAAAAAAATCAGAGTTGTTTTTTCAAAAAAAGTAAATAAAATCGATAAACCCTTACCCAACCTTATCAAAAATAGGAAGGAAAAGGCCCAAACCCATGCAATTAGGAACGAAAATGGTGAAGAAAATGAATTGGAGATAGAGTCACATAGTTACAGATACAAACATAAAACTGGCTTGCTCTTCTCTTTCTTGCTCATTTGTAAGAGCTCCTAATGTATGAGGTTTTACTGTGGTTTTACTTGGTATGATTCTGGTGATCTACAAGTGAACCACAATCTGAAAATAAATAGATTTCAGAAATTCACACATTTTGAGTCGAAAACCATTCTGAATGGTGAAAGAAATCCTGTGCACCCCACTCTGCCCACGTCCTGCCTTGGATGTGAGTCCTTCTTTTATCTAGTACGTCCCTGCCATACAGTCCTACCTGCCCGTGAGTCATCTGGTCCCTGTCTCGGTTACCGGGTCACGTGTTACAGCGTCACAGTGCTGGGTTCCGGTAGCCAGGCACTGTATCACATCATGTTATGATACGAAAGCATATACTATAAGACACAGTAACACAAGAAGGTTTTACACAAAAGGACAGAAGGATACGGAACACTAGAAGGTGCAGTACAGTAAGGTAATTCAAGAGACTGCATTTGCATATCTTTATTATATAAATTTTTCTAATTCAGTATTATTGTTAATTTTTACTAGTTTATAAATTAAACCTTCCCATAAATATGCATTTGTAGGGAAAATATAATTTGCATATAACATAATTTTTACCTTGTCTATGTCTGGGTTTGGTCCTGGAACGTGTGCCCTGTGAATGAACACGGGGACGACTATGTATTTCCCTGTCTAGCGTCTTCAGGGTCAGAGTTAGGAATCTCAGCGGTTCTCTTTTTTGGCAAATCTGCAATTCCCCCTGCACAGTTCCACTTTCGCTGCCTTACTCTCACTCCCTGCTGCTCTGCAGCAATTAGAAGGGAAGGCTCTTAGCTCCACACATGCAGCCCCCACACCTGCACCAAACACTCGTCCTCCTCTCCCGGGCAGTACAGGTGAGGCTTTCGGGTGTCTAGCTAAGTCCTCAGGGGAACTACCTCTCAGTTCCTAGCCATGTTATCCAAGTTCTGTGCACTTGTGTAACTCGACACTGTATTATTGTATCAGCAATATAATTCCTACACACACACACACACACACACCACCACCACCACCACCAGGAGGCCCACGACTGTCTTTGCTTCTGCCAGCGGCTCCTGTTCGTACCCATTCTGCCCTTTACAAACGCCTCTATATTCACCATCATCGATGCTGCCCTGTCATCTCCTTAAACCAGTGCCAGCCAGATCTTTATTCCTTATCACTCAGCTATTAGTTCTTTTTTCCCTTAGTGCGTGTTTGCGGCACAAGATTATCACATTCATCATGGGGGGGTCCCTGTGCAGAACACATCTTGCTTCTCGTTTCTGTCCTCTTCTTCTCCTCTCACTCCCACCCTTCTTGGTCTCCTCATTAGCAAGACCTTACTTCCATCTTTCTCTTCAACATTTTTCTTTAAATCTCTTTTTTCTTCCTTCCCTTACTCTCCACCCATCTCTCGTTCCCCCTTCCCATTTGAACAAGTTCTTTCTGCTTTCCAGTATCCATCATCCATTTTGCCTCCTCTTATATCTATGGTGGGCTTCTCACACAAAAGAAACAACACAATATTTAAACCATATGTCCGTTTTATCTCACTTAAGTTTACAGTCTTGAGGTGCAACCATTTACCTAAAAATGGCTGGTATATCAGTGACATCCAAGTTTTCCTTGGAACACTTCCAGTTGGTTTCTCAAACACCACAGGCTTCTGATATTTCCCTCTAACTGACTCAACCTCTTCCTTTGCTGAAAGAGACAAAATTTTTACCTCTTTGTATTAGAGCAACACAGGACTCAACCCTGAATTAAAAAAAAAAAATTCTCCCTCTTCTCTCTTTCTGCCCACATTCTCATTTAGAGATTTGATCGGTTGTTTGGGTCTACACACTGTGGTATAAGCTGAACAGCCTCATAATTTTATCTGCAATCAGGCCTACCTCTTAACTCCACACTCCAATCTCCAGGTGCCTGTTCTCGATGAAGACCCAGTAAGCATCTCCAACATAACCGGCTGAGAAATGAGTCCTTGTTGTTCCTCTGGTCCTTGCTTCTCCCAAAGTAGCCCCTCACCTGCTATTCATTTCCACCATTCTATTTGCGGAAGCCAAAATTTCCCCTGGTTCTCCTTTTCCCTTTTTAGCCAATGTCTAACCCATTTGCAAATCCCCTTAGCTCTATCTTCAAAATGCATCAAGAACATATGACTTATGACCACTCCACCACCACCAAAGTCCCACACCTTTCTACCTTTAACCTAAAATAATGCAATTGTATTGCAACTGGTCTTCCTGCTTCATTTTGCTATTTTACTATTTACAATAGAAAATCAGAATGATCCAGTGAAACATAAATCAGATCATGAAACTTTGCTGCCAGTGCCCAAGGGCTGACTAGCTCCATGCTGCACTGTGGAGCTCATTATAAAACTCAGAAAATCTCTACAGCCTTAGACCTGTGGGGTCTCTCTGACTGTGCTACCTACTTCTATGCCTGCCACACGTTCACTTCTCCATAGCTGTGGCGGCCTCTTGGTTTTATTTAAATATGCCAGGTGCACTTTTACAACACAGCTCCCGCATTTGCCGGCTTTCTGCCTGAGCTCTCTTCCTCAGATGTGCACACTGCTCACTGACACCACTGTATTCCACAGCTTTCCCTTTGCAGGGACAAAATAACCAATGCCTACAACTTAAAGGAGGAAGGGTTTATTTCTCATGGTTCAGAGGGTTCGTTCTGTGGTTTGTTGTCTCCAAGGCAGAAACAGCACAGTGGTAGGGCCTAGCAGAACACAGTTCCTCAATTCATAGCAAGCTGGAGGCAGAGAGAAGAGGAAGAGTGGACACAGAAGACACCTTGTATATCATGTTCCTGCTGACGGACTCTTCCAGCCAGGTCCCACTTCCTAAAGGCTCCTTCAGCTCTGAGTTCCGTGGATTCATCCACGGATTAACGCAGCAGCCTCAAGATCAGGTCAAAACCCCACCTCTGAACATAAGAGATGTAAGCCATAGCAATTACTCTCCTAATAAAGATTTAATGATTATGTTTCCATTAAAGTGCTATACCCAACATGAGTTTCCATCTCAGCCTTGTTTTATTTTTCCCCACACCCTATCACTCTGAAACATCCATGTAGTTTACCCATTAATTTTGTCATCTGTTCAGCTCTGCAAACTAGAACATACATCCATGAA